GCCCCTGGAGGGGGGAACTGCACCCAGACCCAGGTGGTGTTTCCCTTTTCCCTGCGGTGGGGGGAGGCAGACGCCCCGACTCCACAGCAGCAGGGAGGTCCCGCATGCAGGGGGAGCACACTGCCCCCAGGTGGCAGAAATGTAATCAGTCAACATTTGAGGACTTTAATTTCAAACAAACGATGCTTCTAACCTGCCGACTGTTGACCTCACCCGTCCACTCGTCAGCTGTTCAGCACGTTCTCTTTATCGATTTGATCTAAAATACAAACTGTAATATTTTACTATTAATCGTTTTATCTTTACTTACAATCAGGATGTAGAATCCTGAGGACAGAACACAGGATCCAGTTCAGTACATAAAATATTAAAAATAAAACAGTAGTTAAAATAATCTAAAATTTCACTAAGAAAGGAAAGAAACATAAAATAATACAACATTGTGAGACTGCAGAGTGCAGGGATGACATGCGCACGTTCAGCATGTTACTCGTGTATTTTTTGGAGTATTTCTACACTATTGTACTTGTTCACGAGTACACGGTGTGAATACTTTCATCCAAACGTGTTGAGCTGATTTTATTTCTGCAGCTCAGACCTGAGTTCCTCTTCACGGTTTCAGTCGTGCAAACACAGCAAAGCTCAGATCACATGGAAGCTTGACGGGGTATAAATAGAGAAACGGAAAATCATGAGCGACGTCCTGGGAGGGACTGACACACACACACACACACACACACACACACACACACACACACAGCCGTCCTGTTTCTTTGTCTTATCTGGTCGGATCATGGACGCCCGGCTGCTCTGCAGCACTCTGACCCTGCTGCTGTCCGTCACACGAGGTGAGCTGATTTACGCACGTTGTCTTAATGTGCCAGGATGTGATGTCATTTCTGTGCTTTAATACAGACAGAAGCATCCTCACAGATTCTTTCAGAGAAACAGCAGAACTTTAGAAAAGTGATGAGAAGCTTAAAAATGAGCCAAATGTATAATAAGTGTGCTTTATTTGCCATTTGTGCGTCTGTTGTGTCTCTGAATCACATCAGTGCTTCACAAACCCAAACTTGTATTTGTAATGACCACCAGGGGGCGACTGCTCCGGTTCTAAGAGGTCTGATTACAGGTCTGTGAGTCATCTGACGGTTTTTGTTTTCAGGTCTTAAGTAAAATAATGATGTTAGATTATTGTGACAAAGGAGGTAAAGCACAATGATCCAGTGATTCAGGTTTAAGGAAAAGCTGCAGGGAGCTTTTGTATCCTTGTTTCCAGACGGTGAGTGGGCGTGGTCACGACTCTGCACACTCATAGCCAGTCGCCATGAATCATTGTGCTGTTGGTCATTTTGCTAACAGCATTACAGAGTTCAGGGACTCCAACAGCTCACTGAGCACTGATACCCTGCTGCAGCTACAGCACCAGCTAGTGGTAGGTGGCTGCATAACAGCTGCACTTAGCCTCTCAGGTGACATCAGCAAACAATGAAGTTTAAGCTTCTTCTGTGGTTGTCCAGCAACAACAGCAACATTCTGCTACTTATAACAGATTTTTACTTGAACTACTGTTTTTTCCCATCAGCCCTCAGCTCTGCAGAAGACGGCTGGTTTGTGAAGGTTCAGCCGGAGGTACGAGGCATCGAGGGCTACCCGGTGGTGCTGCCGTGCACCTTCGGCCATCCGCAGCACTCCCAGCATTCCTCCCTGCAGGTCGTGTGGCGTCTGGGCCACGGGCAGGGAGCCACCGTCCTGTACCGCTGCACCAGCCGGTCCGGAGCCCCCACCTGTGAGCCGGGGCCGAAGCAGGACCAGCGCTATCGGCTGGAGGGAAACCCGCGGGAGCACGACCTGTCGCTGCGCATCAGTAACACCATCCTGCAGGATAATGGACGCTACTACTGCCGAGTGGAGGTTCAAGGACGAGAACACATCAGCTTCGAGGACAAGATGGGGACCAGACTGAGAGTGGAAGGTACCGCCCAAATCACTCTGCCCACAGCTGACCCAGAAACAGTCCAGCACTTGTTCTTCAGCTTGGTGTACTGAAGCTTTGTGAAACACAGTCAGCTGATTTTAAGGGTGGATTTTCTATTACAACAGTTAGCTCGCAGCTAGAACCTTTAATCTAGTAGGATTAAGATGCATGAAGGCTTCCACAGCATCTGACTCCTCTCCCTCCTCCTCCAGCTCCTCCAAAGATCCTGGGCCTGTCGGTGGAGGGCACTGAGCAGTCCGGGTACAGAGCGCTGTGTCGGGTCCAGGGCTCCCCGCTGCCGGACGTCCAGTGGCTCGGCCCGGACGACCTGCTGGAGGGCTCTCTGCTCAGGCCGCTGGCTCAGGGCTCCACCGGCCACTACCACACCGTCAGCCAGCTGAGAGACGTGGAGTCAGGCCAACAGTACACCTGCAGCGCCTCCAACCCACTGGGTAAAGAGCAGGCCACCCTGTATGTCCTGCCCCCCCAGCCCCCTCTCTCTCTTGCCGGGGCTTCACCTCCTCTCCTGCTCCTCCTGTCAGTGTCTCTGGGGGCAAAAGTCCTCCTGCTGGTGGGGATGGGGGTGTGGATGGTGCAGGGCGGAGCTCTGCAGGGGCTCAGCTGCTGGAGGAAATGACTGATGCCAGTCATATAATCATGGTAAAAATATATGTAATCATTGAGTTAGAACAGTATGATCTAGAAGCTGATCAAACATAAACATGTCTTCATGCTGATGAGACAAATGCATGCCTCGCTGCTGAGGTCATAAACGTAAAAAGATCTGTGTATGATTCCTGCTTCGAGCTGATTGGGTGAACATGACGCTGAGGAGTTCTCAGCTTCACATCATCACGGATCATAAGCGCCTCACAGATCTGTGCCATGGAGCAAAAATGGGTGTGCCTCAAAAAGTGGCGGCTGAGAGACTTATTTGCTCATCATTAGCCACATTTGATGTGCATTTACTGAAAGTTTCTTTATTTAAGCAATAAAACCCACTAGAATTAAGTAGAATGAGAATTGTTTGCTTTGTTTTTGCTTTAATTACCAAATGATTTCAGGTTTTTACAGGAAACTTGAGGAAATAAAGTCTGAAACAACTGATGAATAAAGATGCACATCATCTGCAAACTTAATATTTGTTGAAATTTGCTCATTAATGTTGTTGTTGGGCATTAAATCCATTTAACAGTAAAGTTACTGAAGTCTTTAAATTGTTAGCCTGACAATAAAGAATATTTAGAGTTTAAAGGTGTAAAGATGTGAATCGTTTTGGACGTTTCTGTACTGGGAACAAATAAAAGACACCAGCGTCCAGTTTGTCACAGCAAAACAGATTTATTGATGTGTCACTGAGTCCATGATTGACTGGAATAATCGTTTTTACAATAAAACTGGTGCATAGATGATTCTGACCAATCAGACTGCAGATTCAACAGTTCAACATGCAAACTCTGCTGAGTTCAAACAGGTAAATAATATAAAGCATCAGGATGACGAGGTTACCTGTAAACTTACATTCAGCTCGGTTTAGGACTCCTTAAAGAATAAAATCGCACTTGAATTTACATCTTCAGTTATTATAGAAAAGTATTCTATCAGCAGCTGATCGTTTATCCCAGAAACCGTAATCTAAGAGCAAACAGTAAATACGAGTTAGCATCACTCTGCTGAAGCTTCTGCAGAGCCGATTACTACAAACACACGAAGCTCAAACACTTTAAATAGTGACAAATAACAGCTCACTCTCCTCAGATTACAATCAAACAGGAAACCAGTGATGCTGCATACTGGTTCCCAACGATCGTAACATTTCCCAGTCAGATCAGCAGGAACATCCTCTGCAAAGTGAAACTTTCTTAAATGCTCAGTTACACATTTGCTTCGGTTTTCAGGACTAAGATGCTGCTGGTTGCTGTTCAGGTGTCTCACCAAGCAGAGCGTGAGACCCTCAGACTAAACTAGAGTACATGTTTTTCTTCTACAGAGCCATAAAATGTGACTGGCAGCTACAGCGTGCTTATACGTGAACAGGATGTGTAGTGAAACTAACGACAGTGCAGAGCTGCAGAGCTCCTGTCCTATATGGGGAAGAGCTCCGGCTCCTTGTAGCAGATATAATGAGCATCCATGCAGCAATCGTCGTCGCTCCACTCAAAGCCCGTGCCGTTTCCCAGACTCATGATGGTGCACTGGCCTTCCTCCACCCCACCGGGCTCGCCGTCACCCCAGGTGGTGCTGTTGACGCTGTCCCCGTTCACCCAGAACCACTCCCCGTTCAGCGAGCTGCGCCGCATGCCGATCCACACCTCTTGTACAGTGTTGTTAGTTAAAGACCTGTTCTGGTAAAGTTTGCCATAGATCTGTTTCTGGAGGTCGGCGCTTGACAGGCAGAGCAGCTCTAGTTTGCGATCAGCGCAGGTTTTAAAAGATTCACGCCAGTCGCTGGGTTGTTCTTCCAAGTCTAGAACCTCGGGGGTGACGGCGCAGCCCCTGAAATCTGTTCGGGAAGAGGAAGAAAAGGCTGAAATCAGAGGTTTCACAAGACTAAACATTAAAGCAAACGTCCGAGGCGTAAAGTTTAGGGTGCAGTCGTTCACATTTATTGGAAGGAAGCAGCTAAAGAGTCGACGCTTGCTTTTTCCCTGGGCTCCTGTTTGTTCTCATCGGGTTCTTTCTTTAAATCTGTTCTAGTTTGTATTTCAGTTGTTGTTGTTATCGCAGCTCCATCGCTGCTCTGTGCGTCTGACGTTTGTGTTTCCATTCTTGAGTCCCATTTCTCCCACTTATATAAATCAAAGTTTAGCTTCAAAGGTAAACATTTCTGGATTCTTTATTTATTTCTGCTTTATTTTGCTGATCATGGCTCACATGTGTGAGCTGCAGCGGCGATCGTGGCTCAAGAGTTGGCAGTTTGGAAGGTTGCCGGTTCGAGCCCGGCTCGGACAGTCTCGGTCGTTGTGTCCTTGGGCAAGACACTTCACCCGTTGCCTACTGGTGGTGGTCAGAGGGCCCGGTGGCGCCAGTGTCCGGCAGCCTCGCCTCTGTCAGTGCGCCCCAGGGTGGCTGTGGCTACAATGTAGCTGCCATCACCAGTGTGTGAATGTGTGTGTGAATGGGTGGATGATTGTGTAAAGTGCTTTGGGGTCCTTAGGGACTAGTAAAGCGCTTTACAAATGCAGGCCATTTTCACCATTTATCCTTCTAGTTCAGGCCTCACAACCGTGAGGAACACTCCTGTCCAGACGAAGATCGCCGACAGGCTCCACGGGGAGGGTGGAGTCAGGCTGGCTGTACTGACAGTGCAGCATATTAATGGAAGGTAAACGGGAATGACGCCTGCAGCTCTACAAAACGTGGGAGATCTTCCTGTGGAGTGCACCGAGGCTGGTGTCTGAGCATCAGGAGCCACCTCACGCTCCTACTATCAAAGCACTCCTGAACCCACGACAGCATCAGAGACATCTTATCTGGACTAAAGAGGGAAAGAACGGGACTGTTGCTCTGTCCAAGTTCTCTTGGAAATGAAAGGCAGCATCAGGCTCCCGGACTCTTGACGAGCAGACACTTAGATGCTTGAGTCTGCGGTCGGTGATGATTCGGGGCCGTGTGCCATCTGCTGACGAACTTTAAGGACTTAGCACCCGCCCACAGCTCACCTGACCTGACACCCCACAGCAAATCAGTGGGAGAGGCCAAACATCTGACACACCAATCCAAGCTGAAGGCCTGTAAGCAGCTGTGCTTCAGTAAGACCTCAGCAGGACAAGCTGAGCGCTCAGGTGAGCACGCTTCAGAGGCTGGACGTTTCTGTACTGAGAGTCCTGCGACTGATCTCGTCTGATTTTAATGACGTAAGCATCACAATAAAAAGTCTGCATTAAATTACAAACCAAACTTTTTTCATGATCTTTGTTTTTTTAGATGCACGGGTACATATGACGTGTCCTGCACACAGCGGATATTATCACTAACTGTGGAAATCAGCAGCAGTTCCTCACCTGGGCTTGAACTGACGACAGGTGCCTGGTTCCCAAACAAAGTGCTTCCATTGTTCCCGCTAAAGTAGACGGCCATTTTGGAGGAAGTGTGCCAGATGACAGTTTCACCCAAACTCAGAGGAACTTGTATCGAGCTGTAATTAGTCCCCTCCAGTTTCGTCCAGTCTGCACTTGATATGTGGTTATTTCCAACACGAACCCCGTCGGTGACGTTACTGCTGACCACGATCACGGCGTAGTTCTTGGAGATCGTGGATAATGCTGTGACCACAAAGCAGCAGGCAAAGTTTGCTGTTGGGATCAGAGGGAGGAGTAATCCCGGCCGGTAGAGGATGGCTGTGCCGGCTACATCATACGTCGGTGAGCTTGAGGCGTAAGGCGTGACACTGGTGGAATCGTTCTGTGCCAAAAGTACCATCGTCTCTCCCGCGGCATCCTGGGCCAGAAATGGAGGAACTAAGTACTTCAGCGTCCTGCCTGGGGCTGGCGGCAGAATGGCGTACAGCAGCCCGCAGCTGCAGTAGCGCTGGACGGCGCAGGGGTGGCCAAAGAGGACGGCCACTGGCTTTTCAGCCGTCACGTTTTTAAACCCTGCACTCTCATTCAACCAGATCTGAGCAACCTGGCCTGACTGGAGGGAAACTTCTTGCGTCTTTAATCCTCCGACGTTCACGTTGTTTTGCTGCTGAACACCGTTGACGATGATGATTCTGAACGGGCCTCGCTCCGTCACCGTCTGCACAACTAAGTCCTGATAATTGTTTGTGCCGGGAATTGTGGGTATTGGTGGGATGAGGTACGTTGTGCCGAGTTTGTCTGTAGGTATGACGACAGCAGTCTGCAGACTGTCTTCTTTACGGCTGATGGCTTGAACGGTGATATCTTTGTTGCTGTCAATGGTCAGAGTTTTGTTGGAGATGTTTTGCTTCCCGAGTTCCAGCTTTGCATTCACGGTGAAATTCCAAACATCTCCAGCGTCCAGGTCCCGTTGCTCAGACTTGTCGTACTCTTGAACTCGGACTGTTGTCCCGTTTTTCAAAGCAGTGATTATGACCATGTTTGTGGGCGGGCTGGGGTAGTAGCTGGCGATGTTCTCCGGAAACACAACGGTAAAGTTTTGGCCAACGGTGTCGTAAGGCACAGGGCCCGTGGACTCTGGTGAAAGAAAACACAGCAGCTGTTTAATGAGGAAGAAACAGAACCGTCTTTGTCCTTCCTTTCTACCACATTTTCAGGAATTCTGGTGAAAATTATTCCAAATAAAAAGAGAATTCTGGATGATTCAGCAGAAATACTCTGAAAATCAAAAACCCTGCCTGATTTAAATTTGGCTTGATCTATCCCAGCATCCTCCTCTGTCACACCAACCCTCTGCATCACCTCTTTCCTCCTGCCTGCAGCTCCATCTTTATCCTCCACCCTCAAACCACCTCGTCCCTCTGACTCATTTCTGATCCTGTCCTTCCCGCTCATGAACATCGAGCCCGTGTCTTTGTCATCGTGCTACGACGTTTGTGTCCATGCATCACAGCAGGTCTCACTGACTCACAGAATAAACTGTGCAGGTGATCGAGTGGGTAAATGTAAATGACATCAAGAACATGTAAAAACACGGACAAAAGATCACAGATTGCAGACTGTATATTAAAGATGGCCGTGGCCGGCCTTTGACACCTTTTGGCCATCACCATTTTTGTTTTTAAACCACAGCTGATTATCATATTGAACAGCAGCTAAGCTTGAAAACTTCAGTCAGGTGATCATTTCTATAGCAACAAGCAGACTACAGACTGAACTAGAGATGGACCGATCTGATATTACGTATCGGTATCGGTCCGATACTGACCTAAATTACTGGATCGGATATCGGAGAAAAATAAAAAATGTAATCCGATCCATTAAATATCACGAAAGCACCTCAC